GGGCTGGGGATTCGAACCCACCACCTTAGGTGTATGTGGCTGGCGCCTTAGCCACTTGAGCCACAGGTGCTGAGCCCCAAGAAACTCTTAGAATTAATAAATTCAGTAAAGTTGCAGGATACAAAGTCAACATACAAAATTCAGTTACATTTCCATACACTAAAAACTATCCCTCAAAAAGGAGAAAAATGATTCCATTTACACTAGCATTAAAATAATAAAATACTCAGGAATAAATTTAACAAGGTAAAAGAATCTGTGAAATGATTCCATGTACAAAAAAAATTATATAACTTTGATGAATGTAGTCGAAGATATAAATAAATGGAAATCTATCCCATGTTCATGGATTGGAAGAATTAATATTGTTACACTGTCCATACTACCCAAAATGATCTATAGATTTCATGCAATCCTTATCAAAATTCCAGTGGCATTTTTCACAGAAATAGAAAAAACAGTAAATTATTATTCAGCCATGTAAAGAGGGAAATCCCGTCATTGGAGAGATGAGAAATGATTGTGGAGGACAATATGGTAAGTGAAATTGAGCTAGATGCAGAAAGACAAATACCATTGCATCTCACTCATCTCTGGGATTTAATGTCAAACTCACATAGAACAGTGATTGCTGGAGCCTGTGTGGAGGTGGTGGTGGGAGATGAGATGTTCATCAAAGCACAAAAACTTCCAGTTACAAGATAAGTTCTTGGAATTTAATGTATAGCACAGGTGATGACGTTTTAACTGATTTGTAATAATCATATGTACTCATTTATCAAATTATCACATTTTACAACTTGAAAATACACAGCCTTTATTTGGCAAATACTTTTTAAAACAAATATGTGAAAGGTATAAGACAGATATACTCTGTTTACCTCTTTTTCAGAAAATATTTTCACCATCTGTCCTGAAGCTTTAGCAAGCAAAGCTTATCAGTTGGCATTCACAGCTATCCTTCACCTCTGCACTATTTCACAGTCAAAACACCACTGTGGGCTGTCTCTGGGCTCACAGTGCAACCAGGTACAGCTGTCCCCTATGGGCTGAGGTACCTATAGGTCTTATACAGGTGAGGGGCTGGTTTCACAGTTGCACCCTCAGGCCTGACCCCAGCTTCCCACTGGAATCCAAGGCACCACAGAAGAGCCCACAGCCTCCTCATCACAAGGCTCTGACCCATGCCCTGGCACCCTTCTGCTCTCCCCAGGACACTTGGGGCCGTGTACAAAGGCCCAAGTCCCAGCTGGAATGCTGAGGTGCGTGGAAAGTGGATTAAGTCCCACTTTTCCTATCTGTAAGAAGAGGAAATTGCACTGTAACAAACTTCCAGTCCTGGCTGTACTCACCCCACCCCACCCCACCCCGCCAGAGGCTGTAGTAGACAGAGACTCGGGCACTGCCCTGAAGAAGGTCTAATTTTGCGGCTGGGGGCCTTGGGCAGGCTGACAGGAGGAAGGTCAGTGTCCCCCAGGGAGGATTTGCTAGAACACCCTGCTGGGACTCATGTCCAGGGATGCAGATTTCTGTCCAGCTGTACTTTGAAAGATCGATAAGTGACTAGGAGACTCACAGCCTGGTTGAAATGTGTCTCCCACCCCTGACACCAAAATTCATGTGTTGACATCCTTAACCTTAGGACATCAGAATGCTGCCTTATTTGGAGATAAGTGATCACTGCATATGTGATCACTTAAATAAGGAGATAGCCCTATGGGAATCGGGTGGGCTCCTAATCTGGCATGCCCGTGTCTGTATAAGAGGGGAAAATCTAGACACATACACATGTAGGGAGAATGCCATGTGGAGGTAGAGGCAGAGGACACAGAGTTTTTCCACAGGCCACGGAAGGCCAAAGATGACCAGCAACCACCAAAGCTGGGAGAGAGGCCTGAGCCTCAGAAGGAACCAGCCTGTGACCCCATGATCTAGACTTCTAGTCTGTGAGACAATAAATCCCTGTTGTTTAAGCTTCCCAGTTTGAGGCACTTCCTTACAGCAGCCCTGAGAAGCCAACACCCTGTCCCTGATGTCCCTCCCAAGAGCCCAGGGTGACAGCCCACACAGGGGCTTGTGGCCGAGGTGAGCCGTGCCTGCTCCACCCTGCTCTGCCTGTTGCCTCTCAGTGGTGACATCCGCACACGAGCACCATGAAGTGCCCAGGGAGTTGCAGCCAAGCCAGGCCAGCCACTGGCCTTGAATGACATCAGATGACATTCAGGCCACTACCTCATCCCTTATCTGCATGCCCTGTTCCTTCCTTCGCAGTCAAACTGAATGGTTGGCTCTGAAGCATCTTTGTTTCTTGTGTGAATAGACCCACTGTCTCGGCTCATCTTCCTTCCGGGGCACAGGGTGGGCTGGGGCACAGCAGATACTTAATGTTGCTGGGTCTGACCCTTGATGAGACTTCCTGCAATAGGTTTTTGGAAGTTGGACAGTTGCTAGAGGCTTCAGAACTCCAGCCCAATGGATCCCAAACTCGGCAGGATGGTGAGTAAGACCTCCGATGTTTACAGTCCATGGGTCTGAGAGCTGGACTCAGAGATTGCCTGTGCTAAGGCAGCCAGCCACGTGCCCAGCGTGACTACCACTTAGAAATGTCTTACCTGCTCATTGGTTCAGCCCTAAGGATGTGGTCTTTTGCATTACTTTATCAGGAAGGGCTTTTGAGTGGTTGTGCTTAAAAACAAATAATGGCATGATTATTAAGATGTTTATATTCAAATTTTTCATGAACTCAATCGCCTTATTTTTTTTTTCATTTTTCTCTTTTTAAAAAGTGAGCTTGCATCCCAGAAGATTTTGCCCTAACAGTGGTGACGACAGACAGCATGATGTTGGTCCTGGGCACAGGTCTCTGGGTTTGACGAGCTTGCGAGGGCTACCTGGACAAATCCCACAGGGTTCTTCCCGGCAAGCTGCTGCCTCTGCTCCTGCCCTGCCCCAGCCAACAAATAAGCAGTGACGTTTGTCTGAGCTGCTGTGTTTTTGCCTATCCCCAGAATGGTTGGAAAGTAAAATTTTTGGACCATCTATTTCTATTATGAACACACACATGCAAAAGAGAAATGTTCAGGATTTTGTGGGTGGTTGATACTTAGAAGACCCTAGAAAGAAGTTTTGAAACAAGTATATGCCAGATTCAAGGATGGAAACACAATCAGAGAGTAGACACCAGGTTAGAGTGTGGCTAACCCACCTTGCAGACCCTGAGGTTTCTCGTTCATGGCGTGAATTTGCTGCTCCGAAAGAAAAAGCTCTCCGCAGCCCACTGCCTGGCCACACTTTCTATTGCTACATTAACTCCATAGCCTTTTCTCTAATGCTAACAGAGAAAAGAAAAGAATCAAGGTCTATTCGTGGGACCTTGAACCCCAAACTGGCACAAACTGGTTTTTTAATATGTCACATGTTAGATACCAACAGCTAAAGTGGATCCCAGGTACAGCCCAGCAGAACTGGGTGAGGTTCAGGGTCCAGTCTGTGGGTACAGGTGGGTGCTGTGTCCTCGGCACTCACCGTCCAGCAGGGCATGCACGGCCAGCATTCTTGCAGCATGGGGACAGCCATGTGCCTCCTGCGTGCTGAGTCAATGGTGACACCTGGATGTGCCCTCTAGGACAGAGAACCGTCTCTGGGGGAATGAACTTGGACATCATCATCACATTTTTTCCCACATTTGTTTTTTGTTTCTTCGTACCAAAAGCAACATTCTTTTTGTTTGTTTGTTTTTGTTGAGACACTCTCACTATGTCACCCTTGGTAGAGTGCTGTGGCATCACAGCTCACAGCAACCTCAAACTCTTGGGCTTAAGCGATTCTCTTGCCTCAGCCTCCCAAG